GTGTGTACCACTGCTGCTGGCCACCGATCATTGTCAGTCCTGCTGGTGTCAACATCCCCGAAGGGTGTAGGTGGCTTCCAACACTTCTTAGATCATCCAGAGCCTCCATCAGCATCGGGCGTGATGTCAGCACGTCAGGTATGTAGCGGGGGGGGGGGGTGTCATGCGTCCGGAGCATGCATGCTCCTTCACCAAACCTGAAGAACCATAGAACACACTGTGCTAAATATTCTCTGCTATCCATAGGATTGGTGAGCGGGCTGATACCCATCTGCTTTCTGTCATCACTCTAGAGACACTGCATGCAAACACCTTTACACTTCAGATCTTTGCTTTAAGCATTTATCTGTTTAATGCTATTGAATTACCAGTGTTCACTAATTCTTATGGGCCCCACCATTGCTAGCAGAAGAGAGCGGATACTACCATATCAAGATTTTTAAATATCACAAGACTTACGTTGCAATCTCTAGTTAAAGAGACCTTTTCTCTTCCAAGGCCATTGTTATTCAACTTAGGGTACCTACAGTCTATCTATTTCTGCTGGAGTATACCTTTACATAATTCTCTGCATGCCCCGCTGTGGCACCAGTGGCACGGAGGCAGCTGATAAGTCAACAAGCCCTTTCTTCCCCCTCTTGCTGCTGGTGTTGCAGTTAAATAGTTGAAGCTTGCTACTCATGACTGTATGATTTGTTAAACGTTGCTAATTGCTAATTCCTATTTTACGAGTGTTCTGCTTTTATGCGTTAACTGGGGTTGTATATCCTAAATCCATTATTCCTGTGGCCTACTATTTTGATTAAGACTAATATAGATGTGTTACTAAGAATTGTGTCTCTTGCGTTATGATTCTATACTGTTGAAATACAGTGGGGCAAAAAAGTATTTAGTCAGCCACCAACTGTGCAAGTTCTCCCACTTAAAAAGATGAGAGGTCTGTAATTGGTATCATAGGTAGACCTCAACTATGAGAGACAAAATGAGAAAAAAAATCCAGACAATCACATTGGCTGATTTGGAAAGAATTTATTTGCAAATTATGGTGGAAAATAAGTATTTGGTCAATATGAAAAGTTCATCTCAATACTTTGTTATATATCCTTTGTTGGCAATGACAGAGGTCAAACGTTTCCTGTAAGTCTTCACAAGGTTGGCACACACTGTTGCTGGTATGTTGGCCCATTCCTCAATGCAGATCTCCTCTAGAGCAGTGATGTTTTGGGGCTGTCGCTGGGCAACACGGACTTTCAACTCTCTCCAAAGGTTTTCTATGGGGTTGAGATCTGGAGACTGGCTAGGCCACTCCAGAACCTTGAAATGCTTCTTATGAAGCCACTCCTCCGTTGCCCGGGCGGTATGTTTGGGATCATTGTCATGTTGGAAGACCCAGCCATGTTTCATCTTCAATGCCATTGCTGATGGAAGGAGGTTTGCACTCAAAATCTCACGATACATGGCCCCATTCATGCTGTCCTGTACATGGATCAGTCTTCCTGGTCCCTTTGCGGAGAAACAGCCCCAAAGTATGATGTTGCCACCCCCATGCTTCACAGTAGGTATGGTGTTCTTTGGATGCAACTCAGCATTCTCTCTCCTCCAAACACGACGAGTTGTGTTTCTACCAGTTCTATTTTGGTTTCATCTGACCATATGACATTCCCCCAATCCTCTTCTAGATCATCCAAATGCTCTCTAGCAAACTTCAGACGGGCCCGGACATGTACTGGCTTAAGCAGGGGGACACGTCTGGCACTGCAGGATCTGAGTCCCTGGTGGCGTAGTGTGTTACTGATGGTAGCCTTTGTTACATTGGTCCCAGCTCTCTGCAGGTCATTCACTAGGTCCCCCCGTGTGGTCCTGGGATTTTTGCTCACCGTTCTTGTGATCATTTTGACCCCACGGGGTGAGATCTTGTGTGGAACCCCAGATCGAGGGAGATTATCAGTGGTCTTGTATGTCTTCCATTTTCTAATTATTGCTCCCACAGTTGATTTGTTCACACCAAGCTGCTTGCCTATTGCAGATTCAGTCTTCCCAGCCTGGTGCAGGTCTACAATTTTGTTTCTGGTGTCTTCACCATAGTGGAGTTTGGAGTGTGACTGTTTGAGGTTGTGGACAGGTGTCTTTTATACTGATAACAAGTTCAAATAGATGCCATTGATACAGGTAATGAGTGCAGGACAGAGGAGCCTCTTAAAGAAGAAGGTGCAGGTCTGTGAGAGCCAGAAATCTTGCTTGTTTGTAGGTGACCAAATACTTATTTTCCACCATAATTTTCAAATAAATTCTTTCCAAATCAGCCAATGTGATTGTCTGGATTTTTTTTTTCTCATTTTGTCTCTCATAGTTGAGGTCTACCTATGATGCCAATTACAGGCCTCTCTCATCTTTTTAAGTGGGAGAACTTGCACAATTGGTGGCTGACTAAATACTTTTTTGCTCCACTGTATGTCTGAACCCCGAGTATCAGAGGTGTTGGGAGGCTTGCAGGCCATCCACTGCATTATCAAGCATGCTGATGGTGGAGGTGAGCAGTAATGACTAGGCCTTTCTTAGCAATGTCCTAGGAGTTTTGCAGTCAGGCTTCATGAGGTACACAAATGGCCTACACACAGGGCTTTTTTTCATTGGAAACGTGGGGGAACGCATTTCCAGCACTGAATATATGCAATAGCAAGGGGTGCTGGGATGTGATGGAGGGTCTATTAATTCTGGCTGCTGGGTGGTCTATTGTTGCTGGGGGGATCTATTGTTGCGGTGGGGGTCAATTGTTGCTGGAAGGGATCTACTGTTTCTGCAAAGGTCTATTGTTGTTGTATAGGATCTGCTGCTGGGTGGTCTATTGTTGCTGGGGAGAGCTTATGTTGCTGGGGGGGTCAATTGTTGCTGGAAGGGATCTACTGTTGAAGGAGGGGGTCTACTGTTGCGGCCTGCTGGGGGTCTATTGTTGCTGGAAGGAAACTATTTTGTGTGGCTGTCTGTTCTTGCTGGGGAGAGCTATTGTTGGTGGAGGGGAATCTATTGTTGCTGGGGGGTCAATTGTTGCCAGAAGGGATCTACTGTTGAGGGAGGGGTCTATTGTTGCAAGCTGCTGGAGAGTCTATTGATGCTGGCTGCTAGGAAATCTGTTGTTGCTGCCAGGAGTCTATTCTTGCTGGGGGTGGAATCTATTGTTGCTGGGAGGGGGTCTATTGCTTCTGGCTGCAGGGAATCTATTTTACTGCTTTTCTTGTTATCAACAAATTCCATACAAATTACATATCACCACAAATGATACTTGGCTCTGTATCCTCTGAAAGACGGTACTGGGAGGTGGGTAGGAGGGGGGAACGAAGAGGCGGTGCTCGGAGGTGGGTGGAGACAAGAAGTGACTCAGAAGGGAGGAGTTCCTGCACCTATTCTCTGAGAAAAAAAGCCTGTAGGTACACCTATAGCAAGGGCATTGTTCAACTTTAGTCGGAGCAGTGGATGGTGTCATTCATTAGGGCAGAAGACGGTGTCAGTAGAGCAGTAGATGGTGTCATTTGGGCAGAGGATAGTGTCAGTAGAGCAGTAGATGGTGTCATTTGGGCAGAGGATAGTGTCAGTAGAGCAGTAGCTGGTGTCAGCTGGGCAGAGGACGGTGTCAGTAGAGCAGTAGACGGTGACAGTTGGGAAGAGGATGGTGTCGATAGAGCAGTAGACTATGTCAGCTGGACAGAGGACGGTGTCGGTAGAGCAGTAGACGGTGTCAGCTGGGCAGGGGACGGTGTCAGTAGAGCAGTAGATGGTGTCAGCTGGGCAGAGGATGGTGTCCGTAGAGTAGTAAATGGCGTCAGTTTGGAAGAGGATGGTGTCAGTAGAGCAGTAGATGGTGTCAGCTGGGCAGGGGACGGTGTCAGTAGAGCAGAAGATGGTGTCAGCTGGGCAGAGGACTGTGTCAGAGCAGTAGATGGTGTCAGTAGAGCAGTAGATGGTGTCAGCTGGGCAGAGGTTGGTGTCGGTGGGGCAATGGACGATGTCAGTAGTTTTTTGGGGGGTTTTTAAACAATTTTGTATTTTTTTTACAATTTTTTTTAGCAGCCCTGTTGGGAGGGGGATGGCTTTGGAGAAATATGGAGCAGAACGATGGTGGTGTATGCAGGCTTTGCGGCGCACCCCGTGGTGAAGAGCGATGTTTCGGTGGTGTACGCAGGCTTTGCGGCGCACCCCGTGGTGAAGAGCAATGTTTCGGTGGTGTACGCAGGCTTTGCGGCGCACCCCGTGGTGAAGAGCAATGTTTCGGTGGTGTACGCAGGCTTTGCGGTGCACCCCGTGGTGAAGAGCGATGTTTCGGTGGTGTACGCAGGCTTTGCGGCGCACCCCGTGGTGAAGAGCGATGTTTCGGTGGTGTACGCAGGCTTTGCGGTGCACCCTGTGGTGAAGAGCAATGTTTCGGTGGGCACCAAGATCCCAGTATTGAGGCCTATTGAGGTTTGCACAGCAGATATACAGCAAGGACAGTTATTTGTTTCTTTTGATAACAAAGTGTCTTCTTTGGGGAAATCATCCAGACGGTGCGCAGCCCCTGGACAGGTCAGGCAGCGGATCCTCGATCTAAACAACATTCACCCACGTGGTGTCTGCTGGGGAACTACTGTCATGTGACTGGAGCTCCGCCCTCTATTCTTCACACCTCTCCGCTCAGCATCTGTCACTTCGCCCTTCTCTGTCACAGGGCTCCGGTGGGCGTGGCGCGGCCGGTGCCGATTGGCTGGAAGCTTTGGCAGGTGTGCAGTGATTGGTCGCTTAGTACCGGCTGAGCGATGCGGGATGTGTAGCGCGAGCTGTCAGCCGGCTTTCTCAGCAGACGGGCGAGGGATGGTGCGGGCTCCGGGACGGTCATGGTCTCCACCGAGCTGAGCCGGCACAACGGGGAAACGCTGGCCAAGGAGGCCGGGGACGGGCTGGCCAGCCCCAGCAGCAATGGAGAAGTGTCTGTGTGTGTCGGAGGAGCACAGCAGGATGAGCGGCAGGCAATGCTGCCCGGGGAGGCCCCTCCCGTGCCGGAGACCCGGCTGTACTGGCGGCGCTTTGCGGTGCTCGGGGTGTTCTCTCTGTACTCCCTGGTGAACGCCTTCCAATGGATCCAATACAGCATCCTGGCCTCCATCTTCACCGGCTTCTATGGGGTCTCCTACCTGGACATTGATTGGCTGTCTGTGGTCTACATGGTGGCCTATGTGCCCCTCATCTTCCCGGCCACCTGGCTGCTGGACACCCGGGGCCTCCACCTCACCGCCCTGCTGGGCTCTGGACTCAACTGCCTGGGGGCCTGGATCAAGTGCGCCAGCGCCCGCCACGACCTCTTCCCTGTCACCATGCTGGCCCAGACCGTCTGCTCCATCGCCCAGGTCTTCATCCTCGGCCTGCCCTCCAGGGTGGCTTCTGTTTGGTTTGGGCCCAAGGAGGTGTCCACCGCCTGCGCCACCGCCGTGCTGGGCAACCAGGTCAGTACCCCGCCCCCCCCATACTACACATTCCTTGGCCACCGCCGTGCTGGGCAACCAGGTCAGTACCGTCCCCCAATACTATACATTCTATGTCCACCGCCGTGCTGGGCAACCAGGTCAGTACCGCCCCCCCCCCCCCCATATTATACATTCTATGTCCACCGCCCTGCTGGGCAACCAGGTCAGTACCATCCCCCCATACTACACATTATATGTCCACCGCCTGTGCCACCATCATGCTGGGCAACCAGGTCAGTACTGTTTCCCCCCACCCCACATACTATACATTCTATGTCCACCGCCTGCGCCACCGCCGTGCTGGGCAACCAGGTCAGTACCACACCCCCATACTACACATTCTATGTCCACCGCCTGCGCCACCGCCGTGCTGGGCAACCAGGCCAGTACCGCCCCCCCCCATACTACACATTCCTTGGCCACCGCCGTGCTAGGCAACAAGGTCAGTACCGTCCCCCCCATACTACACATTCTATGTCCACCGCCCTGCTGGGCAACCAGGTCAGTACCGTCCCCCCATACTACACATTCTATGTCCACCGCCCTGCTGGGCAACCAGGCCAGTACCGCCCCCCCCATACTACACATTCCTTGGCCACCGCCGTGCTGGGCAACCAGGTCAGTACCGTCCCCCCCATACTACACATTCTATGTCCACCGCCCTGCTGGGCAACCAGGTCAGTACCGCCCCCCCCCCCATACTATACATTCTATGTCCACCGCCGTGCTGGGCAACCAGGTCAGTACCGTCCCCCCCCCCCCATACTATACATTCTATGTCCACCGCCGTGCTGGGCAACCAGGTCAGTATCGTCCCCCCCATACTACACATTCTATGTCCACCGCCGTGCTGGGCAACCAGGTCAGTACCGTTTCCCCCCCCCATACTACACATTCTATGTCCACCGCCTGCGCCACTGCCGTGCTGGGCAACCAGGTCAGTACCATCCCCCCCATACTACACATTATATGTCCACCGCCTGCGCCGCCGTGCTGGGCAACCAGTTCAGTACCGTCCCCCAATACTATACATTCTATGTCCACCGCCGTGCTGGGCAACCAGGTCAGTACCGTCCCCCCATACTACACATTCTATGTCCACCGCCTGCGCCGGGCAACCAGGTCAGTACCGTCCCCCCATACTACACATTATATGTCCACCGCCTGTGCCACCATCATGCTGGGCAACCAGGTCAGTACTGTTTCCCCCCACCCCCCATACTATACATTCTATGTCCACCGCCTGCGCCACCGCTGTGCTGTGCAACCAGGTCAGTACCGTCCCCCCATACTATACATTATATGTCCACCATATATTATTAGAAATATATATTTTATGGTGTCTTCTCTGACTATACGTCTTTCTCCATCGTATGCACTGTATAGAAAACTCTGTACCTATTAAAGGGGCAGACAGGAGCAGTACACATGTACAGTACATCACTTATTATATCAGTACATGTTTATTATATAGTGCATATCATGTATATGTTCTTCCTGGCTATGTGACCTGGCTGATCACCCCTTGAGCTCTACATCCTTTTGTCCCCCTTCAGCATACACACTATACATTGTAGTAGATGTAACATATACCGTGTACATAAATGTATACAATATGTGATGTAAATCACAGCAGGTCTCATAAGCTAATTCTCCAGGATTGCCATTTCCTTGTCATAAAACATTTAGCTATTTTGTATTCTTTTGTCAATCAATGATACACCGGTATTCTATATACGTATGACATGTGCTACTCTGGATGATAATGTCATTGTGGGGAGTGGAGGTACAGGCCAGCAACGTGGTGATGGGGTGGGGAAGTCAGCACAAAGCCCGGCTGTCATGTGACTGAACATGAATTATGTATACCGCACCCACATGGTACGATGCAGGGGGTTGTCACAATACACACGTTTTACTTGAATAATGTGCAGGGCCTGCTTTGGGACTTGGATCTATCTATCTATCTATCTATCTATCTATCTATCTATCTATCTATCTATCTATCTATCTATCTATCTATCTATCTATCTATCTTCTCTTTCTAATCTATCTATCTACTCTTTCTTATCTATCTATCTATCTATCTATCTATCTATCTATCTATCTTCTCTTTCTAATCTATCTATCTATCTATCTATCTATCTATCTATCTATCTATCTATCTATCTATCTTCTCTTTCTAATCTATCTATCTATCTTCTCTTTCTAATCTATCTATCTATCTTCTCTTTCTAATCTATCTATCTATCTATCTATCTATCTATCTATCTATCTATCTTCTCTTTCTAATGTGTCTGTCTGTCTGTCTGTCTATCTGTCTTCTCTTTCTAATCTATCTATTTATGGTGTATCAATTGTTAACGCCTAATCATGTTTACTTGTGGTTGCTAAAAAATCTATTACTTAATAAAGTAAATACACAGCAATGGAAAACCAGCACATTCAATTTCAGTCAGTACACTGTAGTTGAAACACATACAGATTCTAGGAGATGGATTGATGAATAAATGTGAAGGACAAGACTCCTTTAAACTGATTCAGTATAAGATTGTAGATGTTAATCCTTAGTGGGTGACATTTAGTTTGCTAAAGAGCTATGGATTATACACAGCTGCCATGTGTGTGGTGTGTTTTTTTTTTTTTTTTTTTGTCCCCATAAATTACTGTTTTCAGTAAACAGTGCTTCTGAACTCCTTCAGGCTCTTTCAGCCACTTTGTCGCCATGCACCCGTTTCATTGTCGACTGCAAATCAGTGCTGTGACAAACCTTCCTGATTGTGACAGTGGTGAGATACTGTATGTCTGCACAATTTGTGCCAGCACGACCGCTTGTGTTCTCCATCATGGTCATATGCCGTGGGTTGACAACACAGGAGCACAGTTTAGAATCGGTTGTTACTCCAGGAAGTGCATAAACAAGGATCTTTATGGCAGGATTACTGGGTATTATTTTATTAAAAGCTGCAGATTTAAAGCCCAACGCCAGGCAAAAAAACAAGTTTTCCCACTGCACGGGTTAACTGCCTGTTTTGTCTAAGGTTGAGGAGAAAGCTTGTACTCACCCGATCCTTTGTTCCACTGGAAAATGGTGCTTCCCCACGTTCCAGGGGTGGACTGTTCCTGGCCTATGGAAACTGCTCTGGGCTTGATTACATCAGGAACAGTCTACAACTCATTACTGCTGAGTGCCAAAGGGGTCCCCCTGTCAGAATAGAATATCTGAGCGGGAAGGATTCATCCATCCAACTTGCTTGTGCGGATGGATGTGTGTGTGTGTGTGTGTGTGTGTGTGTGTATATATATATGTGTGTGTATGTATGTATGTGTATATATATGTGTGTGTGTGTGTGTATGTATATGTATATATATATGTATGTATGTATGTATATATATATATATATATATATATATATATATATATATATATATATATATATAAAAATAAATAAATAATTTTATCTGCTGGCTGATTGAAAAAAGAGTCATCTATGGCCAGCTTTATTCTATTGGTGCTTATCGATCTGTACAATCCTAGATATAAGTCTCAGCAGCGTCAGACACTAATCGTACCTCATCTGTTGGAGGCCTTTTGTACTTGCTGTAATAGTTGTCACTTGTACTTTGAAATAACATTGATTACTCCCAGGAAGGGCAATTGTTCTTTTTTTGGTGCCATCAACTCCGCAATCACATGGTTAGAGAAGTGCTTGAAATCACTCAGTGATCATGTCAAAGGTTTTTACTTTTAATAGGTATAAACTCTCTACTCTGCCTCAGCAGTGGACCATTTTGGAGTGGAAGACTACTGAAATGCACACTGAACACACTGTTCAACAGCAGATATTCTTCAGCATGCTAGGATAGTCCAGTAAATGTGACAGGGTTTAGACAAGCTATAACCCTGCACAGGGTGCTGGAACAGTTGCAGAAACATCTGTTTAAAATGTGTAAACCACAGGAATAAAAGACAACCATTTGTAAGGCACCCCTGGTAGAGTTTTAGTTTGTTCCTACCACTGTTACAACTTGGTTTGCATCCAAATGTGGAAGAAAATAAATATAAAGGAAAAAAAATGTATTATAGTGCTGGTTATCTTGTGTCACTTGCAGGAATCTTTCCATTAGATGTCTTTGGACCGAGTAATGGCATTCTTCACCGTTTCTGCTAGTCTTCTGACATGTATGCTACTTTCCATCAACTTTGATAAGACTCCATGCTCTTCTGCTTACAAAATTTGGCCATGTGCATAAACAGGTCCCTTCCTCCAGCAAGTGATGAGATTAGTCAGATTTTGGTGAGCCATCACCTCCTTCTCCATGGCGTTCTCCAACTGCTGTTTCAGTTGGTCGACCATCCTTTTCATCTTCCTGTTGAGTTTCTGAACTGCCTCCAGCCTCTTGTTGGTCATCCAGTCAATTGTCTGGATAAGTCTTCTAGGTCTTCAGATCTCTGATCTTGTCAGTCTCATGCACTTCTCTTTTCTTAGTGTCCCACTGCTTCTGCAGTTGGCTTTATTAATATGTTCACCCTGATAATGTGCTCCTCTGGAGCACCGGTCGTGGCACCAGCTTAAACTGGAACATAGGCAATCATTAAAAGATAAAGAAGCTGCATACTCAGTAAGTGATTAAATCAGCTGCTGAAAGTGCTTAAAAAACTGAAAACAGGTAAGTACTGTTCTCTTGGCAACCTCCAAACCCAGACATATCCATCAGATTGCCTGACAGAAAAGCGTGATTTGTCACTCCAGAGAACATGTCTCCACTGCTCTAGAGTCCAGTGACAGCGTGCTTTACACCACTGCATCCGACACTTTGTATTGCACTTGATGATGTAAGGCTTAGATGCAGCTGTTGGGCCATGGAAACCCATTCCATGAAGCTCTCTACACACTATTGTGCTAATCTGAAGGCCACACAAAGTTTAGAGGTCTTTAGCTATTGACTCTGAAGGCAGTTGGCGACTACTGCACTCTGTGCGCTTCAGCATGCACTGACCCCGCTCTGTCATTTTACGTGGCCTACCACTTCATGGCTGAGTTGTTATTTCCAGTTGCTTCCACTTTGTTATAATACCACTAACAGTTGACCGTGGAATATTTAGTAGTAAGGGAATTTCACGGATGGACTTATTGCAATGTGGCAACCTATCATGGTACCACGCTTGAAGTCACTGAGCTCCTGAGAGCGACCCATTCTTTCACAATGTTTGTAGAAACAGTCTGCATGCCTAGGGGCTTGATTGTATACACCTGTGCTGTGGCCACGGAGGTGATTGGAACACCTGAATCCATTGATTTGGAGGGGTGTCCTAATACTTTCGACAATATAGTGTATATTTGAGAGATGTACTGGAGAGAAAAAAAAAAAAATATATATATATATATATATATATATATATATATATATATATATATATATAAAAAATATAATTACATATTTTTGCCCAGACATGCACTTTAAATGTCAGTCTCCCTTACTGTTGCTATTCCTTTTTTTTTTCTTCTTTAGCTGCCCTGCTGCTACATTCACCCATTTATCAAGCCCGCTGTTACATGGGAATGGAGGAATAGTCCTTAAAGGATAAGTTCACCTTTTGACCACAAAAAAACAAAGCAAATTTTTTTGCAGGTAAACAAAAAAGGTGCATGTATTACTTTTTGTTGCAGGAAGCCTGTAAAGCATTGCACCAGCGATCAGCAGATTGCTGGTGCCATGCAGGACTCCTGCAGACCGTTCAGTATATCTGCTTGCCCATACAGGATGTACGGGCAAGCAAGCAGATATGCAACAGGAAGAATAAATGAACTACCATGGCGCTCCACAGCACCATGGTGGTTCATTGAGAACTACAAGCCGACAGCCGCTATGGCTGTTGAGACTTGTAGTTCATTCATTCACAGAACTCTGTTCTTAAAAAGTGACAGCCTATATGGGGAACCTTTCCCTGTGCTGCTGTCAGAGAGGTGAGAATTGGGCAGCCGCTGCAGCATTGGGAACATGTTACACCCTAAAAACAGGTGGGATATGTAACATGTTCCCAAAAGTCAACTTATCCTTTAAAGGCTTAGTCCATGTTTTAGACCATATTACATCCAAGTAATGTGCAGCATGGTCACATATGCCATCCCCAAAACCCAAACCACTGCACCCACTTCCTGAATTGCGGGATGCTTCTTGCAGCATTTTTGTGAACATTTAAATTCAGTGTGACTGCACGAGCACAGCCGTGTCATCAAGGTTTGGGATTGCTTACAGTGAATTCCTACATGTCCTATATGCCACTTAAGCAGAGGTACTATACAGAGCTCGCCAGCGATTCCTCTTCAGCATGTCACACCACTCTGTGGGAAGAATTGCTTATTGAGAATTGTCAGCGGTTAATTTATCTGAGAGACAGAAATTACTCAAGAAACCCCTAGCAATCTCTGGAGGAGCCTTAAAGTGTTACTAAACCCAGGACCCTGCATTCACTATATCTGGTCTCCCAGGACCCTGCATTCACTATATCCGCTCTCCCCGGACCCTGCATTCACTATATCTGCTCTCCCCGGACCCTGCATTCACTATATCCGCTCTCCCCGGACCCTGCATTCACTATATCGGGTCTCCCCGGACCCTGCATTCACTATATCTGGTCTCCCAGGACCCTGCATTCACTATATCGGGTCTCCCCGGACCCTGCATTCACTATATCGGGTCTCCCCGGACCCTGCATTCACTATATCTGGTCTCCCAGGACCCTGCATTCACTATATCCGCTCTCCCCGGACCCTGCATTCACTATATCTGCTCTCCCCGGACCCTGCATTCACTATATCCGCTCTCCCCGGACCCTGCATTCACTATATCGGGTCTCCCCGGACCCTGCATTCACTATATCTGGTCTCCCAGGACCCTGCATTCACTATATCTGCTCTCCCCGGACCCTGCATTCACTATATCTGCTCTCCCCGGACCCTGCATTCACTATATCCGCTCTCCCCGGACCCTGCATTCACTATATCGGGTCTCCCCGGACCCTGCATTCACTATATCGGGTCTCCCCGGACCCTGCATTCACTATATCGGGTCTCCCCGGACCCTGCATTCACTATATCGGGTCTCCCCGGACCCTGCATTCACTATATCGGGTCTCCCCGGACCCTGCATTCACTATATCGGGTCTCCCCGGACCCTGCATTCACTATATCGGGTCTCCCCGGACCCTGCATTCACTATATCGGGTCTCCCCGGACCCTGCATTCACTATATCGGGTCTCCCCGGACCCTGCATTCACTATATCGGGTCTCCCCGGACCCTGCATTCACTATATCGGGTCTCCCCGGACCCTGCATTCACTATATCGGGTCTCCCCGGACCCTGCATTCATTATATCGGGTCTCCCCGGAACCTGCATTCACTATATCTGGTCTCCCACAGTACACACAACATGGAAATGCAATTATTTTAGTAACTATAAACTGCTAAATACATTTTCTCATCAGCAGTATGTAGCAGTCTTGTGACTTCTATCAGTGTCTATCCGAGCACTGGTTAAAGCTTGTAGGAGGAATTTTTCTCTGTACTCAAGGAGGATGCAGAACCCCTAACCTCTGTCTGGACAGTGCTGATTTGGCCCTGTTCTGATCACATGCAAGGGGAAAAAAACCCTCTTTAACAATACATACCAAACTGAGCATGTGCCGAGTGTCTGCACAGGATATGTCTTATCAGGAGATAAGAGGGGGACACTGGAAAAAGGGGAGGATCAGAGAAGTCAGGATCAAACAGCGTTTTTGCACAATGCAAATGATTAACCCCCTAGGTTCCACAGTGAGTCTTATCAAGCATGCTTTAATGCATATGCAGACTGGTTTTACTGTTGTGGGTTTAGTAACACTTTAAGCAGGGTATATATGGACAGGTTTTTTTTTTTTTTTTTTCTATTTTGTTCAACCAGCGGGTTGGATGAAAAAACCTGACAGGTCCCCGCATCCACACAAGTGATGTGAATGCAGGGATTTTCCCCACTGTGCTATTTTACTCTGACAGCAGGGACTCCTGTCAGAATACACAGATCAGCACTGCAGCCATTGAATGCTGGTTTTTTCCAGCAGGACCATTTGTTGAACAGACAGTGGAACACACAGAGCGAAATTCAGCTGGTTCCTGCTGAACCGGCCCATTTTCAGTCCTTGTATACCAGACATTAGAGATCCACTGAGCCCTGGTTGAGAAATACTGCTCTATAATTACTTTAGCGATGATGCCGGTTTAAACATCCTGCTGCCTGCTTACTAGGTGGACAGTCTGCAAACTATACTAATGTACGTTTTGTCATTTTTGTGATCCTTTTTAACATATCCTTCTCTCCAAAGTCCTTTTACTGAACATAATTCCAAAATTCTGCCTGGTCCAACAGGTTAAATCTGAAAGGCACTCTGGTAAAATCCAGCTATGTTCCCTTTTAACATTTTCACTTTTTTCTACAGTTTGGCACTGCGATTGGTTTCCTCCTGCCTCCAGTGTTGGTCCCAAGATCAGATAATATGGAGCTGACTGGACACAATATCAGCATCATGTTTTATGGCACAGCGGCTGTGTCTACTCTTCTTTTCATTCTGACTGTTGTAGGTAAGTAGAACAATGTGATCCCACAAGTGTGTGACGATTAATGAGAAGACACATTAAAAATTGTCCTTTTTGGAACAACATGCATGAAACGTTAATATGTCATATTGGGGGACACTCTTCCCTGAAATGTCAGTGCTGCCAGTGGGTATCTCCTCCATCACACACAGTACTTCCCAACAAAAGGAACATATACTGTACAATTATGCAAGCAAGGGTCCATCAAATAAACAGTATTAAAAAGGCAATCAGCACAAGGGATGACCTTCAGTAGGATGTTGTTTTGCTTTGTCCTCCTTTAGATGAAAGCATGCTCTGATGCTCCCCACCACCATCACAGTAGTCTTTTTGGTGTGGCGGAGTTAATAGAGCCATACTGCAGCTTCTATGAATGCATATTTATGAATGGAGGATGAGGGGATGATTGCTAGCACTGCCCCCTCCAATCAGAGATCGTTTCATTCATAGAAGCTGTAGTACATCTTCTATGAATGAAGCGGCCAGATGGAAAGGGTGAGCTTAGTTACGCTCTCTTGTTGGGAGCCTGGAACAGCCCTTTAGCTCTATTAATCCTGTACACCGGCAGATTATGGTGCCGAGGGTGGAAGGACATCAGTGAAGGAAGATTTTATCTAAAGGAGGATACAGCAGCACAAGGGACACATCTGACTGAAGATAAGTAATGTGCCTTGCGCTGACTTTTGAAAATTGAATGTCATTTTATTTATCTATCTATTATTCATTTGTTTTTTATTTTTTTTTCTGCTTTTTAAAAAAAATAACTTAATTGATGTCCTCCTAGATTAATGGAGACATGATTGTGGCAGGGAGGTTGGATTGTAACTTCCTTTAGTGGCATTCATTGCCTTTCCAAGTCATACTGAGACAGGTATCACTAGAAACTGATTAACCTACAATAACATTTGTTTGTTTTATTAGAGGAAACCAGATAACTTTGAGGTGATTCCTGTTAATATAGAGGGAGCAATGGAGATTATTTACTAACACTGCATGGTGCAAAATCTGGTGCAGCTCTGCATAGAAACCAATCAGCTTCCAGGTTTTATTGCCAAAGCTTAATTGAACAAGCTAAAGTTAGAAGCTGATTGGCTGCCATGCAGAGCTGCGCCAGATTCTGAGTGCTCCAGTTTTAGTAAGTCTCCCCCCAATGTGTGCATATAGGAGCTGGACCTTAGCTGTATAAAACCATAGTGTTCACCACTAAGACACCAGACTGGCTGTGCATTCAAAGTAATTGGCTTTTGGCTGACTGGTAAAATGTCCCAACATCTTGTTCCTGCAGGAATCAACATTTATGGGATGTTAGAATTTGTATTCCAAACCTGCCCAAATATATCAAGCCTCTCCTTATATGTGTATTTGTTAAAAAGCATTTCACCCACACTCATACCACAGGTACAGGTGTAGATAATTCTTTACCTCTCTCCCCTTTTTCTTCTTTTCTGATATGTATCTTCTTTTTTTTTTTTTTTTTCTTCTGCTGGTTGTGTCACACAGTAAACTGAGATGTTGCCGGAGAATATGCGAGTCTAATCCTTTCATGAGATGACTAACCACTCATAAATTTTCTTAGCACTGCAGGCTACAAAACAAGTTGCATAATAAAGCAAAAGGATTTCATTTGCTATAAAAACTTCTAAACCATTTTTATTCCATTCTGAAGAAAATATATACACAATATCCCATTGGAGTAATTACAGAGTGTCTTTTTCTGGTTTCAATATTTGAAAGAGAAGCATGGGATTTCAAAAAATAAATATTCATACTCCTCTATGTGGATACAGCAACAGTACGATGCAAAGCTGGAAGACCAGGAACTGAACGATCAAAGACTGCTGATCGCTAAGTTCTCAGTTTTCAGTGAGCAGAGAGTTAGTACTGTCAGTCACCGGCTCTGTGCTCACTGGAGCTCCAGGCTCTTCAGGAGGTAGGAGCGGCTGGCTCAGGCTCTCAGTGATGCACTGAGAGGCTGAGCTAGCTGCCGGTCAGGCATCTGGGTGGATCCTGACAATAAAGTCAGGATCCCTCCAGAGTCTGGAACTGCTCTGTGACATCAGCTGACAGCGGGATTTAGCCCACTGTTGGCTAAATATGGGTCACAGCAGTCTACAACTAAGTGCACTCTGGTGATCCTTTGGATAAGTAAGGCCATAAGAGCGTTGGCGCTACTTCTCTTTTAAAGTGGACCTACCATCAAAATAAAAACCAAAGCTTGGCCATAGAAGATTCATTTTTTCTTTATCCAGCCAACAGGTTGAACAGAAAAAACAGATTCCTCCTTCCACACAAACGAGAGGATTCCCACCCAAAGGGACATTGTATTCTCACAACAGGTTTTGGTGTTGTCAGAATACACTGATCAGTGGCTGCAGCTGCCAGGCAACAAGTTTTCCAACTTGTTCATTTGACAGAAGTGGATCTAATGACTGACTTTTGGCTACACACTGATCAAAATGTTGCCAGTTCCAGCTGAACCTGCCGGAATTCAATCCATCTAAGGCCCCCTTAAAGCAGAAATACACTGCATCTGAGCACCACAAAGCAAAAAACACTATTTAATTTATTTTGAATATTCAAAGAAAACTCCACTACCCAGCCATGTCTCCATGATTTATTTTGTTAAAAAACACCCCCCTAGCATTTCTAGCCACGGTCACCTTGAGTAAGGGCAGATGATTCATGTAGCATTTACTTCCTGGAATCTATCTGCCCTTAGTTAAAGCAAGCAGGCAGGAGGGTGTGCTTAGCTTAGAAAAAAAACTTTAAAACTAGTAAGTATGGTATACTTTCCTATTTACTAATGCTAGCAGCAAAAAGATTAAAAATAGTGAGTGAGAGAGTGAAGTTCTAATTTAAATAGGTTCACGTGTCAGCATTAGCACATCACAACATTGCTTTGAATTAGAAAAGGGAGATCTCTCCTCAGGTTGGAATGGAGTGCACCAATTGAAGATTCAATATAAGATACAGTGGGGATCATTAGATAGGGTTTGGGCCAGTAAGTTCATCTTTACTTCTGTAAGATTAGTGTGTTATGATCTGTAAGATTGGTTTCCAATGATATTTCTTCCTCCATGCTCCTCTGTCACTTCTTTCACCTGCCAGAGCCCTTGGAAATACCTGGCACTTGTAGTTATAGGGGAGCATTAGACCTTCTCCCCTTTTGTGCCCCAATGCATTGCTCTGCACCTATGCTGCCATTTGCCAGATCTGAACCTTCACAGGGGAAAATCTGGGCTTTCAAATCCCCAGCTCGGCAGGCAAACAGGTTGGCGGGGGCAGGAGTAAATATCAGTGTCAGAGAAGCCATTGGAATAGGTTGGTTTGTGTCACTATCTATTCTTCCTATAATAGTGAACCTGCCATTTTTCCCCTAATTGGGCTTTAATGCCATTTAAATAGAGGGCCTTCCTGAGGTGCTTATTTATTTATTTCAGGTACTTCTATAGCGCCATCAATTTACGCAGCGCTTTACATATATATTGTACATTCACATCAGTCCCTAACCCTCAAGGGGCGTACAATCTAAGGTCCCTAACTCACATTCATACATACACATATTAGGGCCAATTTAGACAGGAGCCAATTCACCTACCAGCATCTCTTTGGGGTGTGGGAGGAAACCGGAGTACCTGGAGGAAACCCACGCAGGCACAGGGAAAACATGCAAACTCCAGGCAGGAGGTGCCGTGGCTGGGATTGCAACCAGCAACCCTAGTATTGCCAGGCAGAAGTGCCATCCATTTAGCCACTGAGCTCTGTATGTGTGATATATATATATATATATATATATATATATATATATATATATATACCCATTCTTTCACAAATGTTTGTAGAAGCAGTCTGCATGCCTAGGTGCTTGATTTTGTACACCTGTGACCATGGAGGTGATTGGAACACCTGACCCAATGATTTGGAGGGGAGTCCCGATACTTTTGGCAATATTGTGTGTGTGTATGTATATGTACGTACGTACGTACACACACACACACTATATTGCCAAAAGTATCGGGACTCCCCTCCAAATCATTGGGTCAGGTGTTCCAATCACCTCCATGGTCACAGGTGTACAAAATCAAGCACCTAGGCATGCAGACTGCTTCTACAAACATTTGTGAAAGTGTGTGTGTGTGCGTGCCGTGGCTGGGATTTGAACCATCGACCCTAGTACTGCCAGGCAGAAGTGCCAACCATTTAGCCACTGTGCTGCCCATATGAATGTTGTGAAGGATGGTTGGTATACATTAAGATGTATACAAAATCTTTGTACCAAATATGAAGCATGTTATCTCAAATGCTGTGTTCGTTGAACATACAGTACATAAAGCAGTTTCTCAGCCTTTTTCCAATCAAGGCATCCTTTAACCCCGGGTTCACATATATGCGGCCGTGCGGGCCGCGTTTTGCACGGGCACGAGAGCCCAATCATTTAAATGGACTCCCGTGCCCGTGACACGCAGGGAAGAAGTCCCTGCACTACTTTTGAAAACGCAGCCTGCACAGGAACCTCGGTTCCCAGTACGGTTGCGTTTTTCAGTGCGGGTGGCGTGCCATTAGTATTAATGGCACCTGTTTGCAGGTCTGCATTTCTCTGTGCAGGTGGTGCGGCTAAATGAATGTTCGTGCGGATCCGCAGCAGCACCACCCGCACAGATGTCACCCTAGGGTAAAATTATGCACAATCTCAAAGCACCGTGTTTTAAAATGTAAAGGGAAAAAAAAGTCTCAACGTTTTACATATTGCAGCAGCATCCACACAAGTAGGGCACCCAATATTAGAGCTGATTTATTCTTACAAGGCGAACACACTTTTTCACACTTGTACTGACAAAAATCCCAGCTAATGTGGCCCCAGTGCTGACAGAGGGGGGGGGGGTCAAACAAGGATGTGGTGCAGGTTCTCTTATCAGCAAATGAGGTCAGTGATTGTCAGAATGCTGGCAGCTGGCCCACACTGTGCCTAAGGTTGTAGTGTTGCA